CCCCACTTTTCCATCCCCTCTCTTACTAAAATCATCTCCACTTTCATTTCTATACTTCAACACTTTTTTTTAAACCAGCAAAAGTCCCAAAAATCAAAAATCAGAGTGATCACAGACTGTGAGCACACAGTGGTGCAGTCACAGGGGTGGGAGTGTCACCAAAGTTATATAAAATATTTTTAAACTGCTGTCTTTTCCAACAGGAAGAATGCAGATTTTATTTAGAACCGGCCTTGCAGCGCTGCCAAATGCTGTCAAACCCCAGCAGATTTGATGCTGGCTGTCAAATCACAGACAACCCCTCGCCCCCAAAATCACTGCCAGCTCCTCACACCAACTCAAAGGAGTGGAAATTGAATATTCCCACATCAGCCCCAGCCCCGCCAGCCCGAAGGAACGGATCCTACCCCGAGTAAAACCTGACAGAAACACAGGGTTTACTCACCAAACCCCCAGCCTGAACATCTGGGAAAGATCTGGGTCTGAGCTGGGCTCCAGCAAGAGCCCAAGGCCAAGATTTCCAGGAATGAGCAGAGGATGGGAGCAGGGATTGGGAGCAGGGATTGGGAGCAGGGCTGAGATCAAGCCAGCAGAGCAGAGGCCATGAGGAGGAGCCTCCAGCACAACCTGGCTAAACCTGTCCTAGGTAAAGCCTGTGCTGGGTAAAACCTCTTCTGGCTAAAGCCTGTCCTGGGTCAAACCTGCCCTGGCAAGAAAACCTGTCCTGGATAAAGCCTGCCTTGGGTAAAACCTGTCCGGGGTAAAACCTGTCTGGGGTAAACCTGTCCTGGGTAAAGCCAGCCCTGGGTAAAGCCTGTCCTGGGTAAAACCTGCCTTGGGTCAAACCTGCCTTGGGTCAAACCTGTCCTGGGTAAAGCCTGTCCTGGCTAAGCCTGTCCTGGGTAAAGCTGTCCTGAGTCAAACCTGCCCTGGGTCAAACCTCAGAAAAAAAACCTGTCCTGGGTAAAGCTTGCCTTGGGTAAAACCTGTCCGGGGTAAATCTGTCCTGGGTAAAGCCTGTCCTGGGTAAAGCCTGTCCTGGGTCAAACCTGCCCTGGGTCAAAGCTGCCCTGGCTAAAACCTGCCCTGAGTAAAACCTGTCCTTTGTCAAACCTGTCCTGGCTAAACCTGTTCTGGGTCAAATTTGCCCTGGGTCAAACCTACCCTGGCTCCAGCCTGCCCTGGCTCAAACCTGTCCTGGGTAAGCCTGTCCTGGCTCCAGTGTCCCTGGCAGGGGCTCTGCTCATCCCAGACACTCTCCCAGGCTGCAGCAGCTCCCCCACACGCACTCACAGCCGGGATCCCATCGCATCCAGAGCTGCCATCTCCTCCAGACAAATCCACAAATCCCTCCGTGTCCCAGCGCAGGCAGGGCAGCTCCTGATCCCGGAGAAGATCCCAGAGAGAGCCACATTCCAGCAGGGAATCCATGTCCTTCCCCCAGCGCTGGCACAGCTCCCCGGGGCCGCTCCAGCTCTGCTTTTCCTGCTCCTTGTTTGTGTCCAAAGTCGAGGCTCAGGCAGCAGCCTGGCAGCGGTTTAGGTGCCCTCCCCTGCTCTGCTGGCCACATCCAGCCTGTCCCAGGCAGCCCCTGGGGATCTGAGYGGGGATCTGAGCCAGGATCTGCCCTCCACAGGACTTTTCCCCAAAGGGCTCATCGGGGTGATGGTGCTGGTTGTCTATCCCACTGCAGCCTCAGCAGCTTCTGGCCGTGGGCATGCCCTGCAGGAGCTCTGGTAGCCCTGGTAGCCCTGGCAGGGGTGTGCAGGCCACCTGCAGCCACCCCTGAGCCCGGCTGGTGGCCAGGAACACCGGATCCAACCCCAAACAGCTCTGGCCCCGCTGCGACTCACGCGGCTCCCGCGACCGCCAGGAAGGAAAACAGCTCCAGCTCAGCTTTTCCCTCTCTYTGGAAGCAGAAAAGCAGCGATTCCTCCTCCTCAGAGCCTGTCCCAGGCTGTGTCCCACAGCCTCAGGGGTGGCTGGGGAAGATCCCAAAACACCTCCAACACTCTCTGAGCTCCTGGAGCTGCGGAAGATCCCAAAATGTCCCGAACAGTCTGAGTTCCTGGAGCTGAGAAAATCCCAAAATGCCTCGCACACGCTCCGAGTTCCTGGAATTGGGGAAGATCCCAAAAGCCTCACACATGCTCTGAGCTCCTGGAGCTGGGTAAAATCCCAAAATGTCCCAAACACTCCGAGATCCTGGAGCTGGAGATGATCCCAAAACGCCTTTAACACTCTGAGCTCCTGGAGCTGGGGAAGATCCCAAAATGCCTTGAACACTTTAAGTTCCTGGAGCAGGGAAGATCCCAAAACGCCTCACACACGCTCCGAGCTCYTGGAGCTGGGGAAAATCCCAAAATGTCCCGAACACTCTGAGTTCCTGGAGCAGGGAGGATCCCAAAACACCCTGCACACGCTCGGAGCTCCTGGAGCTGTGGAATTGTGGCGGCCAATGCCCTGCAGTAACCCAGCCCTGCCTCCCAGCAGATGTTTCCTGTCATGGAAAGTTGCTGGACAGAGCGTGCTGGGGGAGGGGAGMGAGGGGACASMGAGGGGACASMGAGGGGACACAGAGGGGAGYRGGGAGAGACCACACTGGAGGATTCAGCCAGGAGGAACCAGCCCTGAGAGCCCCCCATGGGAAGGATCTGGGGGGTTACACCACTCCTGGGTGTGTTTCTGAGCCCCCTGTCACCCTCAGAAAAAAATGGCACTTTTTAGGATTGATTCTTTAGTCAGATCACTTGGGAAACAAAAGGCAAGGGGTTCCTCCAGGAAAAGAACTCTCTGCAGATCTGGGGGATTATTTGGGGTGCTGGCACCCCCTGTGCCCACAGTCCCAGCCTCTCCATGTCCCTGCAGGTCCAGGAGATTTTTTGGGGTCCGTTCAGCACTGTTAGAGGCAAGGAGTGCCTCTACCTGCACCC